ACCTGTAACCCGCCGGTATCACCGGGCGACGAGCCCCTTTTGCAAAGCTTTTCTCCACGGCGGGAACGAGAAGGTGAGTCCTCGGTTAACACGCTGGAGTATCAGCTGAACTAATCTCAGTCCAAACCTCTGAGAGACTTAGAGAGACTTAGAGATAATGGCCACGGAGGGTCACGGACGCTCTTCTGGTCCGTAAAACATCTGGAAACATGTGACGGCCAACAGAATTCTACCTGTCAATCAGAACTGCCGAAAGATCAAATAACTGGGAGTTTAAATCATTTTGTTCTTCTTCTTTTAAATTAAATTTGTGGTGTCTGAAGTGAAGTAAAGAAGACAAACCTCAATGTAACGCCTGATTACAAACTTTTGTAAGAATTTGCAACTTCAGGATTTGACCTTTTGTGTGTGCTTGGTGTACTCTCATATACCTACTGAGTGTGTGTGTGTGTGTGTGTGTGTTTGCAGTGGGACCTGGTGTGTGACAACAGGTGGAAGAACCCCTTGACTTCATCCCTCTTCTTCTGTGGTGTCCTCGCTGGCTCCTTCATTTCGGGACAGCTGTCTGACAGGTTCTGGGCGAATGATTAACTCCTCACGCCGCTGTGCATCGCTTTCTGTCGGACAACGCGCAGGTGGAAGGCTAATGTGTGCCGGCGCCCACAGCGCTCCACCTTGATTTATTAACAGCTAGAAAAAACGTCAAAAACGACGATCAGAAGGGGGCGGAGCTAATCCGTAGTAATTAAACAGGCGCCCTCTGCTCATTGGAACGACGTGTCACACCCGATCATACGACTAGTCTTCTTCAACACAGCATGGTGTCCATTTACAGTCAAACCAACCATAAAGCAGGGGAGGCTTTAGGGCGGGGCTACACGCTGATTGACAGGTCTCTAATAGACTATAGAGCAGAGGATGCTTTAGGGCGGGGCTACACGCTGATTGACAGGTCTCTAATAGACCATAGAGCAGGGGATGCTTTAGGGCGGGGCTACACGCTGATTGACCGGTCTCTAATAGACCATAAAGCAGGGGAGGCTTCAGGGCGGGGCTACACGCTGATTGACAGGTCTCTAACAGACCATAAAGCAGGGGAGGCTTCAGGGCGGGGCTACACGCTGATTGACAGGTCTCTAACAGACCATAAAGCAGGGGATGCTATTGGGCGGGGCTACAGGCTGATTGACAGGTCTCTAACAGACCATAAAGCAGGGGATGCTATTGGGCGGGGCTACACGCTGATTGACAGGTCTCTAACAGACCATAAAGCAGGGGATGCTATTGGGCGGGGCTACACGCTGATTGACAGGTCTCTAATAGACCATAAAGCAGGGGATGCTATTGGGCGGGGCTACAGGCTGATTGACAGGTCTCTAACAGACCATAAAGCAGGGGAGGCTTTAGGGCGGGGCTACAGGCTGATTGACAGGTCTCTAACAGACCATAAAGCAGGGGATGCTTTAGGGCGGGGCTACAGGCTGATTGACAGGTCTCTAACAGACCATAAAGCAGCACTCTGCGTCTCTCTTGCAGGTACGGGAGAAAGATCCTGCTGTTTGTTACGATGGCGGTGCAGACGCTGTTCACGTTGCTCCAGGTCTTCTCCCGTCGTGGCCCGTGTTCTGCGCCATGTTCTTCGTGGTCGGGTTGGGACAGATCTCCAACTACGTGGCTGCGTTCGTGCTGGGTATTCCTCGCCGCCCCCCTGGGCCGTGTCTTCAGTGGTCTGGTGGTTGTGCACAAAGCGACGTTGTGCCCTGTGTGCTTTCAGGGACGGAGATACTGGGCCCTCGCGTGCGGACGGTCTTCTCTACAGCCGGGCGTGAGTCTGTTCTTCGCCGCCGGCTACATGCTGCTGCCGCTGTTTGCGTACTTTCCTCAGGGACTGGAGGAAGCTCCTCCTCGGCCTCGCGCTGCCCGGCTTCCTCTACGTGGCTTCTCTGGTGGTAGGGAGGTGTGTGTTGGCTTGTGTGTGTCTGTGTGGACTTTTGGGGAAGTATTCATGCGTTCGGGGACGTGTGATTGGACAGGTGATTGGAGTCTGTCCCTCTGCACCGGTTTCAGAGCTGAACGATACAATTGAACCAGAATCTTTACGATTAATGATTCAATCAGTGATTCTCAAAGTAGGGCATGGTAAATAATTAAAGTAAATCATAGAAAGTGCATATACACAGATACAGACACAGAAAAGTATTATTCCTGCCCATTTAGCTTTGGGCCAATAGAGACTCAAATTTAGTTACACGCAACAATAAGATACAATAACAGTTTTTCAGTTGAAGATCTTGGATTGAAATATCTGGATTTATCTTATTTTTATATTAAGTCTTTTTGTCTGAAAGCTTTTGAGTTTCATTACTAAGGTATGAAAGTTGTGTCCAAATATTTATCCCCTAATAAACCTTTAATCGGCTTGGAAATGTGGCACCAATTAACGATTATTTAGCCTGATTTTAACAGTATTCATATGAACATGTTTCCCAGTTTATCCCCGTGAATCAGGTCTCAAGTATTTAGGTTGAAATGGTTTGAAAACAAATACTTCAAATGGCATTTAAGTTGCAAACTGTAATAATCATAATGCTTAATCTGCGTTGCCATTAGGAGAAGGTCCACAAAATGTTTGAGGGCTTTTCAGAAGTAACCTTCAAAGTAAGGTGAACATCTTCTGGGTAGTAAAAAATATGAAAATCATACATTTATGTGGTCTAAAAGCTGCGTTAGCGACGCTCGAGCTGGACGGTGCACTTTGCGTTACGCTCTGCGTCCTCTCTCCGTCCCGTCGCTGCATTGGGACAGGTACATCCCCGAGTCTCCTCGCTGGCTGCTCTCACAGGGACGAGTGGAGGAGGCCGAGGACATCCTGAGAGCCGCCGCCAAGAGGAACGGCATCGAGCCCCCGCCGGTCATCTTCGCCGCTGTGCAGGTGAGGCCTCGAAACCTGAAAGAGGTGGTTGTCTTTCAGCGCGCTGAGGAACGGCTGCGGGGAAGGTCACCGCGACCCCACGAAACACGACGAGTCCTAATTATGATGATTTCGGAGGATAAAATGCTTGGGAGACGTGGGCGAGGCACCAGCTGTCAGGCAGCGAGTTACTGAAGTACTGGAGCATTAAACTGAGCTCATATTTATGTTTCTATCGGGATTGAGAACTAACAATGAATGAGCCTGGAGAAAAGGCCCACAAACCGGTGTTTGTTAATATCGTTTTTCTTCTCGTGAATCTTTCCGGTCACTTTACCCTTTTTATGGTCCGCTGCTCCGCGTGACGACCTTGTTGCGCTCTCGGGTGGAACGGAGCTGACAGACACTTGTAGCCTCAAAGTAATCATTTGCAGACGCGTTAAACTTTAAACCCCGAGAAAGTGTGTTTGTGAGGGAAAGCTCAAAGTCATTGTTTCTCGTGGTGGCGGTTAACGAGAAAATTGCAAAAATGCGAATGTTACCGAGATAGCGAGCGGGCCGTTTTACAGCGATCTCCTCGAGCTCTCGCTGCACAGTGACCCTTCGCCTCCATTAGCCTGACGTCTCGGTACGTGTGATGAAATTGCTTGTGGCGCCGGGCGCTAAGTGTTTTGTCGCCCCGCGGCGCCACAGAGAGAACTTCAATGCGAGAGGAGGAAGGCCCACAACATCTGTGACCTGCTTCGCTCCGGAAACATCCGCTGGATCTCTCTCACGCTGTGGCTGGTCTGGTGAGTCCCCCGCTGTCCCAGCCGACCTCCACATTCAGCACGGTGACCCCCGGCGCACAAACACACACACACACCTACGCACACGCACACACGCAGTCTCTGTTCATGCATCACCTCGGCCACATGTCAGCCCACTTCACTAACAACAAATAATGACCTGTCAGCTGCCGGGAAGCGGGTCCTCTAGCGGCGCAGGAGGCCCGAGGTCGGAGTTCCATTGTCTTTCATTTAGAAAGTTCCATCTCGCAGGAAAAGGAAAGTTGTGAACTTTAAACTGCATGTAATTATTTCTACTATTTTAAGGACTTCATACAATCAGACGTCTCCTGATCATCACAACTCAAGGGCTCCGTTCACTGTGACTATTACAGCTGACGCGTTTCTTTAACCCACCGTAACATTTGGGCCGCTGGGGGTGAAGGAAAAAAAACCCATTCAGCCTAAGCTGCTCCGGGCAGCTGCGTAGCGCATAGCAACGCACGCCTTCACTCGGAGTCGTATTTCTGGCCACCTGATGAACGCCAGTCCAGAGATCACACACCTTTTCTCATTGTTTGGATCTCCTCGGGGAAACATTTGCCTCCTTAGTGCCCCACGTTGCCTCCGGCCCGATTTCTGCTCTGCATAAATTTGGGGTTTTTTAGTGCCTTTGAGGGGACGACGACTGCCTTCTGCGGGAAGGAGCGAAGCTTATTGTAACGCTGGTTCTATGAGCGCAGGCTGAGCCCTCTGTTGGACTCCATGTGCAACGCCCTCCTCCAGTCACGGTTACAGCTTTGACCCTTAGTCAGTTGTTCCAGTAAGCTGCTGTCGTACCTGGAGTGGAATGATGGATCGGTGCATCCCCACATTGTTCTAGAATAGTCCGGATTGAACTCAATGGCAGGTGGCCGTGGGAAAGAGATGGTCCTGGTTAACCCTGAAACCCTCATACGTAACCCGTTAACCAACGGCTGAGCCGATTCCAGTGGGTCATTGTGACTCGTCCCGTTTACCCCCAAGTCAAAAGGCCACAGCTCTCTATGGCAGCTGACAGAGACCCAAGATGTAACTTTCACCAATCATTCGTAAAAACACAAAACTTACACCCACGAGGCAGTGTTGTTGTGACCGTAAGGTCACAGAAAATGTGATTACAGGAAAGAAATATACCACATATAATCATATGTTCACAATTCAACAATTCACACCATGTTTGTTAAAAGAATTTCGACATCAAGCGAGAAATTTTAGAAAAATTCCAAATCAAACGGTTGAGTCCAGTAGAAGTCCGTCTCCTGCAGGTGTGATGGTAGAAGACGTGAATGACGATAATAAACGACTTCTGCCTCCACAGGAACACCGTGGCCATCGCTTACTTTGCTCTCTCGCTGAACACGGCGAACCTCCACGGCGACGCGTACCTCAACTCGTTTGTGTCGGCGCTGGTGGAGATGCCGGCCTACATGCTGTCCTGGGCCATGTTCCGCTGGTGCTCGAGACGACTCAGTCTTTTCTCAACCTTCTTCATGGGGGGAGTGTTTCTACTCTTCATAAAGCTCATACCAGAACGTACGATGAGAACGATGCCATTGGGAAATTTAATCTAAGTCTCCACGCAACTGGTCCTGGTTTTGGTGTCTCAGCCTAACAGTTCGTGGTCCAACCAAGTTCTTTGTCACCTTAACCTGCTTTGCTTTTCAATGAAATGTCATTCTGAGGGCCACAAAAAAAATTCAATTCATGCTCCCCTCAACAAAAGGTATCGATAGACACTGTGATACCCGTGAGACGGTTCTCCGTGTTGGATGCTCAGGTGCTGAATGCCGGACATGCAGCCTTTGACTCACGATGCAACGCTTCGTCCCCTCCAGACATGGTGCACTTCGCCATGACGCTGGAGATGTTGGGGAAGTTTGCCGTGACGGCCGCGTTTGCGATAGTCTACGCCTACACGGCTGAGATCTACCCGACGGTGGTGAGGAACACGGCGCTGGGCGCCTGCTCCATGGCCTCCAGGATCGGCAGCGTCATCGCCCCGTACTTCATTTACTTAAGTGAGCAGGCGCTCGCCTTCACCTCCCCTTTGGTTTTTCCTCCTTTGTTTCCTGATCTTACGGTGCTTTCACTTTCCCAAATGCTTAACAGTCAATGCATTTATTCGCATGAGCCGTTAAGAGCAGCGGTTTCTTCCCCCAACTGCCAGAAACAAAACAAGAAGAAAGCTTTCAGTTTGAATTTATGAGCTTCTTTTAAGATGGAGTGGATGGGATTTAAACTGCAGATGCTTCCCACCTTTTGTCCCTCTGAGTCGCTTCTCTCCGTCTGTGATCCGTTGCCACAGGAAGCTATTCCGACTCGCTGCCTTACATCCTGATGGGAAGCCTCACAGCTCTGTCGGGGTTGCTGAGTCTCCTGCTGCCCGAGAGCTACGGAATGCCGCTGCCCGACACCATCGCTCACATGCAGCACTTCCCCGGGTGAGACAGCCGCCTCCCTCCCCCCCGGAACCAGCCGAGTCAGCCGCTCGGATCGGGCCGCTAGTTTGCATTCATACACTCAACATCTGTGTCGATTCAACGCTTGCTGACTCCCATCAGGATTTTTTTTTTTTTTTATTTCAGTTGAGTTTCCAGCACTTTTTTTATTTAAAAATGGAAGAATCGCAAGATTCAGTCTGATTGACAGAACGCAACCCGTTTCTCCCAGTAACTGCTTTAATGGCCTTAACCTTTGCTCCATTGGTGACACGAAGCGTAACCAGTTAACAGTCGAGCTACAAGAAACACTTATTAGGAAATAAGGTGACTTTAATCATAATTATTCATTCACTGATCAATTGTGAGATTTTTTAGAAAACATCTGATTAACATTTAGTACTTTTTGTATTTGTCACATGAACCCCCCCCGAAGTTACACAATAATTGTTATATGATAAGAACCTATAAAACAAAATCAGCAGCTCAGCGTGTGAAAGCACAGACTTCGTTCATTCATTCCATTGTTGTGCGTCTGCTAATCGACTGTAAACCTCTGTCTGCTCCAGATGTTGCAGGAAGAAACCGTACTCTCTCGCACACAGCGAGGAAAAGAGAAACGCTGCCGGCAGGAAGTCTTCAGTTCTCCTCTGAACGAGGGTGAACAACCGGAGGAAGAACATCCACCGCTCGGCCGTGTTTCTGCTCAGTGGGGCCGTTATAATGAGTCAAGAGGATTCTTTCTTTCTAGATTTGTGTTGTCTGCATCTGGACTGAGCAGCATAACTGTCATTGCAACAATGTAATGTGCGTCTTGGAGTCATCATTTCTCTATTGCATTAAACTCTATCTTTAAAATCTGCATTAAACATTAACAACAGCAATACAATTGTTCCCATATTCACACGACCCTGATGTTCACTCTTCTAACGATTTAAATGATTTAAATATGTTATGGGACATCTTTAAATCACATTGAACGCCTGCATATTTCATACTTTAGTTGATTGAAATGGTATTTACATATTTATGGTGTGAGGTAACAAGCACACACTGCATTGTTTGTCCGTGCAGTAGAATTGATACGAGTGAAACTAGAGTTAATTATGCGGCAGCAATGAATGAGTAGCATTTTATGACGATCAGAGTCGACTTTCAGAAAGCGCAGCAGGTTTTGAAGGTTCTCTTCTTGTGGCAAACAAGCACCTGATGCTGTTGTGACAAAAGACAAAAAAAAGGCAAACGTGTGGTTTTCAGAATTACAGAAATAAAATGTGCAACGTGTGAAATCTGTTGATGATTTCTTTTCCTTTTTGGGTCTGCTGAATGTTCATTTATGCACTGATCCACTGACCAGGGACTTCTCACCTTTCTCTGCTGGGCATCTGATGAATAGTTTGAGGAAGAGGTCGTCCAAAACTCTCTGGAAGGAAGAAAGCGGCGAAGGCCGACACAACGGCCAGAGTCCCCATCACGATGTGGGGGAGGGGCTTAAAGTAAACACCTGCACAGAGAGAAGAGGGACGGAGGACGTCCGTGTCCCCGTGTTTGACGCGCGGTGCACACGTCCACTGTGTGTGTGTGTGTGTGTGTGTGGATGAACGTGAGTACTCACTCAGCTGGAACACAAAAGGGGAAACGCAACCCCCCACCCGGGACACGGCGGTGAGGGTCCCCGCGGCGGTGTTCCTGAGCGCCGTGGGGTACAGCTCCGCCGTGTAAGCAAACCCCAGGCCTATGCCAGCGGTGATGACACACTTACCCAGCATGCCCAGAGCCGTGGACAGTGCGGGCAGACCTGACAGGAAGGAGACAGCTCAACTTAACAACACACGAGTACACATCCGTTTCCTTTCATTTCTTCTTTGTAATTGCAGTAATATCTTAAATAGTAAATAGCCTGAACCTTCACTGTTCAATGGGGAATAGTACTTATTTAATGAATGCATTAATGACGAGACTTCGTTTAGTTTGGATGTTGGGCCCCGTTATCGTCTGTTAGTTGTCAATAATCTCATGAATAATTCTATTGATGGAACATGAAAGAAAACGCTGATCTGCTCTGCGTGGACGTGTGAATTCCTCCTCATGAAGTGGACCTGCTATCTGCCTCCTGCCTTACTTTCGGGCACCAGCTGAATCGAGTACAGCGACGCTCCCCCGACGAGTAAAATGCCAACGGCCGACGGGCGCCGCGGGAGGAACCGCAGCGCCAGCCAGCTCAGCGTGTACGCCGGCACCTCCGCCGCCGCCGAGAGGAAGCAGCTGACGTAGGGGTCGGCGTGAAGGTGGGACGTGTTCAGCGACAGGGTGTAGTAGCCGGTGCTCAGAGTGAACCTGGGAGGAGGATGAAGAGGTTCCAGCGGAGCAGCAGCTTCAGACCCGGATGATCGAGCGTGAGAAGCAGACTCACCACACCAGGCACATGATGGCTGTGGTGTCTCTGATGGGCTTCGTCCTCAGCAGGTCGAAGACATTCGTTTGCTCCTTCGGGTGCAGATGTGTCACATCGGCCTGTAAAGAATCGCTCCGTCCCACCAGCAGTGTGAGGAATCATGTCGCACCGTCTGCTTGCTTCGTATTGGATGAGTTGCAGCGACGATGTGACCGACTGTGCTCAGGGCAGACTCACGTGCAGGCTGTGGTCTTCAAAGATGACCTGCGGAGCCTCCACTTTGTTCATCTCGGCAGCCTTCCTCACCGCGGCCTCGGCCTCCTCCACCCGGCCCCGAGAGAGCAGCCAGCGAGGAGACTCTGGGATCCACCTGAAACGAGGGTTCAGGTTCAGGCTGGACCACAGCGCTTAAACCAGAAGGGCGAACGTCGTGAGACTTGTCCCGAGTGCAACCCACCACCAGAGGGGGATGTAGAGCAGGCTGGGCAGGGAGGTCGCCAACAGCAGAGACCTCCAGTCCCTCAGGAAGTAAGCGAACAGCGGCAGCATCATGAAGCCGAAGGCGAAAGCCAGACACACGCCGAGCGAGGAGAAGAGGACCCGGACACGGCCGGTCAAGATCTCATTGCCTGAAAGAGACGAAGTGGGGGGACGGGGGGGGGGTCAATAGGTCAGGTTATTGGAATTAAACAGGGCCGTAACAGTGCAAACAATGTGTTGATCGATATTACGGACCGTGTTTGATCTAAAGCACAAAATGTGCACATTTACCCAGCACGAAGGCAGATATGTAGTTGGAGATCTGCCCCAAACCGCTGATGAAGAGGAGGACCACGAACACCGTCCATGAGTTGGAAAAGATTTGAACGAAAATAAAAACAGTCTGAATAGCCATGGTGGCAAACAAAACCGGCTTCCTTCCAAACCTAGAATGAGAAGTCAAACAACGTCAAAAGTGAGGTAAGATGTGATCAACATGTCGTGTGTTTCATGACGTCGTCACGAGCTGCTGTGTGCAGTGCCTGTCTGACAGCAGTCCCGAGAAGAAGGATCCACAAAGAACCCCCAGGAAGTAAAGTGTTGAGGTGAACGGCTGCTTCCACTGGTCTCGGCACACAAGGTCAAACTGGAGAAGAAAGAACAACAACAACCGACGTGTCCTGAGCTGATTACGATGCAGCTGTTCCCTTCGGGCTTAATGATTTATTAATGTTCTCCAGCAACGCTCACCTGGGACACGATGGTGGACTGGTAGACGTCTCTGCTGTAGCTCCAACCGTCCACACACGTCTCCTGCGGCAGGTCGCTGAGGTCCACCTCCACGGCGGGAGCGAGTCCCAGAGCCGAGAGGTTCCTGACCACGTCCAGCCGGAACCTGCTGCAGCGGCTCAGCTGCTGCTTCCCGTCCACCACCTCACAGCCACGGGGACGCCAACCGCGTTAGGGTCACTGAACTTAACTCAGCACAACGCACACACAGACCGCAACGCTGCACACGGCACCATCAAAGTGCTCTTACGCAACAACAACAAACGGTTCTGGCAGGAACTCGAGCCCGAACGATGAGACGCAGCTACCTCTATCGGGATGATGACGTCGAGCCAGTCTTGGGTCAGGTTGACCTCGGGGACGAGGCAGCGGTGGGCGGGAGTGTCGGTCAGGAAGACAACGGAAAAAGCCCCGAATCCATTGGGCACGACGCTGGCGCAGAGCAGGAAGAAGACCACCTGCTGGAACCGACCCCACTGACCCAGGAAAGCTACCGAGGCCTCAAAGTCCTTCATGGTCTCCCCTCCCGCTGCCGCTGTCCTGTCTGCTGTGCTTCTAATGAGCGCCGCGAGAAGACACACACGTACCTGTTATAAAACGTGCGACTGCCCCCCCCCCCAGCACACAAGTTACACATTAGACAATACATTGTTTAAGGTTGCGATGCAGAAGGTCGTTGACCTCTCCCATTGAGCCATTCAGTCAACAAGCCCTCTTACGGGGGTTTTAGTGTTCGTCAATTGAAATTTAAAATTAACGTAAGCGGTATTTATTTTCTTTGCTCATGAAAAAAACAATTATATCCGAAATCAGCAGTGATTAAGACGACGCAGCCGTGTACTATTCTGACCATAAACACACGCGGTTGTCATGAGTGTGAATTCTCCTTGCTCATGATTTATTAATGTTCTTTCATAAATATACGTTGGTGTAACTAGAAACACTTTAGCGTCTTTATTATTTAGGACACGATGTGTAGATGAATAAAGATGAGAGAAAGAAAATAAATCCATGACAATGTGTTCGCCACGTTGTAGTTACTGACAATAAGTAAAAAGGACAGCAATGTTTTCAAATGCATTTAATAAGTAAAAGTATTTCACTCAACATAAAAAACCTTGTTTATAAAAACTTGATGTAGACAGAAATGTAAACCGGCTGATGATGATCCACGTCAGTAAAGTGCTGATGTCACAGCGGGCCGTCCTGCAGCTCCACAGGTACTCTGGCTTCTCCCCCCGGGATGCAGGGGCACCGTATCCTGTCAACGGGATGAGAGGAAACGAATGAAGCGTCACTGGTCCGCTGCAGGTGTTCGCTGCACCTGTTTCAGTGGAAGGAAACGACAAATGAGCTGGACTGGGATTCTAACTGCAGAGGTCCGGCCCACCGTTCTCTCTTTTGCATCTGATGGATTGTTTCGGGTAGAGGTTTTCCAAAACTCTCAGGAAGGAAGAGCACCGATGTGGCCGCCCCGAAAGCCAGAGTCCCCATTACAATGTAAGGGAGATGTCTCAGGTAGATGTCTGAAAGAAAGAGAAGGGGTGGGGGGGTCAGGTGGGAGGAAACGGGCCGCACGCCCCCGTTTAACGTCTGAACCCATATTGACTCACTCAGAGTGACCAGGAAGGGCGCGATGCAGTTCCCCAGTCGGCCCACGGTGGAGCATATCCCCACGGCCGTGTTCCTGAGCAGCGTCGGGTACAGCTCTGCCATGTAGGCGAACATCATGGAGAAAGTGACCGTCACGGCGTATTTAGCCAACATCTCCAGGCCGATGGACAGATGGGGCAGATCTGCAGGAGGAGCAGGAGAAGAAGATTGCCCAACATTTTTGTCTTAAAGGCATCTAATAAACTTCAACCACTATGACCGAAATGAGTTTGGTATAAGTATACGGTTATAAGTAAACGGTAACATTCTGGTAACACAAAATTGTATGATAAGAAACTGTAATCCAATATACGACAACATACCATAAATAACGGTAAGGCACTGTAAATAAAACAGTAAGTTACTAGCGTCGACTGCCAGTAAATTGCAGTTAATTCACAGTCAAATTTGTTCAAGTTTACGGTAACATACAGTAATCCATTTTACGGTAACATAGTGTAGAAACCATTTACGTTATTATACCGTAAAATAACGGCAAATTCCTGGCGTCCTTGCTGCCAGTAAAATACCGTTAATTTACGGTGAAATGTCTTAGAGTGTAGTCCCTGACTGATCAGTGACGCCATCTACGCCGTTTCCTTCAATCATGGAACACGTCACACATTCCAAAATGTCAATCGTTGGCGATTCCTGCTGCACGTCATGTGTCACTGGATTCCACCGCATCAAGCAAAGTTGGATAATCCACTTATATAGGACATAATGTAAAAACATTGTCTGGAAAATTTCCCACAAGCCAAATAAACAGCGTCTGACTGATGATGAATAAAAGATGAACGATTCATTTATGTTGCTCACTGAGAATAAATGATAATAAACGTGTGATTACTTACTCCCTCCTTGCAGCAATAGCGATAAACGCCACGGTGCTCAGAGAATAGCTTCACTATTATAAAGATAAGAAAGCCCTTTGCTAGCTTGCTAGCGGGGGGGTATTTGCACCCGGACACAACGCGGTTTTCCCTCTTGCTCACTCTGAGGCACCAGCTGGATGAGAAACAGGGCCGACGCCTCGAGCAGCAGCGTGAAGCAGATGGAGCGCCGGCGCCGGAGGAACCGCAGAGCCAGCCAGCCGGAGACGTACGCCGGCACCTCCACGGCCGCCGAGATGAAGCAGCTCACGTAGGGGTCGGCGTGCAGCCGGGACGTGTTGAGGGAGAGGCCGTAGTATCCGGTGCACGCGGCGAACCTGCGCAGGGCGACGTGCTCAATGCGCCTCGTGCGTAAATAACCGGCCTCGCGCGGCGGCGGCTGTCGTCGACGACGTCGGAAAGTGTCCCGGTGCGTTCGGCAGGGTTACTCACGACACCAGGCAGAGGACGAGGGTGGTGACCCGGATGCTGCTGGTCCTCAGCAGGTCCAGGGCACTGTGGCGGTCCTTAGGGTCCGCCTTGATATTCACCTGCAGGGGGACATACAGTAAGTCTCCCGCTCTGTTTTGTCCTTTCAGACAGTAATGCACGGTGGGAAAAGGCAGCCGCTGGCAGACATGAGATGCTTCACTGTACCAGGTGTTTGACACGTGCGCTAAAAAGAAAGATCGCGGTGATCATTTCGCTTCTGGAATGATTGAATCTTCCATAACCCGCAGTGTGTCAACTCAGACCAAGATGTCCATGACGTCTCATCAAACTCACGGCGTAGTCCGGGAAGATGACGGCTGGAGGCTGCACTTTGTTCCACTTGGCGGCCTTCCTCACGATGCTCTCGGCCTCCTCCACTCTTCCCCTGGAGAGCAACCAGCGAGGAGACTCTGGGATGAGCCTGCCCCCAAACCACAGGAAATAAAAATACTTCCCTTGGGATAAGGTGTCCTTGTCAGTGAGGACGTCACAATGCATCATCATCAGCATTCATAGAATGAAAGGTCTTATGTCTGGACTCTGCGTGCAGGAACATGCAGTCGATGGTCAAATGGACAGATGAAATCTGAAGTAGGAACCTGTGTGAATGTCAAGTGTGACACTCTGCTCATGTAAATTGACAGCGCGCGTTCTGGTGATGAGCGCAGCGTACCACCAGAGGGGGAGGAAGGCCAGGCCCGGCAGCGACAGAGCCAACAGCAGAGACTTCCAGTCCCGTAAGAAGTAGGCGCAGAGCGGCAGCAGCATGTAGCCGAAAGCGAAGCTCAGACACGTGCCCATGGACGAGTAAAGGACGCGCACATTTCCAGTCAAGATCTCCGCGCCTGCACACATGAATCAAAACAATACCAACCACGTACATCTGTGTTCATCTGTAGAAGTGATGTGTCAAACCGATGTGGTGGTATTTATACAGACAACAATGTTCATATGTACCCAGAACTAAAGCAGCAACAAAGTTGGATATTTGTCCCAGACCGTTGATGAAGAGGAGGACAAGGAACACAATCCATGAGGTGGAGAAGACTTGAAAAAAAGTGAAACTGATCTGGACCGCCATGGTTGCAAAGAGGACAGGTTTTCTTCCAAATCTGTGAAAAATAAAATGAATAATAGTCAATAAAACGTCTTTTTTTAAATTTGATATATTCAAATAGCAGAGAAGAAGATTCTGAGCCTTGTTTCCTTTGGCGGAGTAAACAAAGAGTAAAAGGATTTCTGTTTATACTAAACATGTCTACTAATGTGTGGTGGCAATTAAAGGAAAATTGACTTGAATTGAGTTTCTGCTCCGCCGAACAACAAAAAACAGTGATTTGTTTTGTGAAATATCGTCTCAGTTGCCGTTGAGAAGCAGCGTCCCGCTGAGGGGAATCAAACATCTGGAGCAGAGGCTTAAGACGTGTGCGTGTCACGAGGGGTCATTGGGTTTCCTCAAGGCGGGGGCCTCTACGGGTACCTGTCTGACAGCTGTCCTGACACGAAGGAGCCGAGGAAGACTCCGACGAAGAAAACCGTGGAGATGAAGGTCAGCTTCCACTGGTCACTGCACACCAGGTCGAACTGGAAAACACACACGGACCGGCATTCAAACGAACACATCAACCGGCAGGTCGTCCGGTTTTATTTAACTTTATTTGTTTTTAGTATAATCCAGTTTAATTCATCTCACAGATTTTTGTCAAATGACCATTTTCTTTTATTTTAGTTGCAACGGATTGAAAAGACGCGACGCTGCTGATCTGAATGACAAAGCCTGTCAGTGTACGTGAAACTAAAGAGGGTCTGTTTACTTAACAAAGCAACAGAACCGGTTCTCGGTTAGAACACCGGGCGGAGGGGGGAGGGGGTTACACCGGCTTCAGGCATCGACCTGTCAATCACAGAGAGCCCTGCCCCGCTTCACCGTCTGGATGGACGGCATGCCACCAAGCGACGGGCGTAACGCGTCCAACGCCCACCTCAGAGACGACGGTGGCGTCGTAGACGTCTCTGCTGTAGCTCCACCCGTCCACACACGTCTCCTGCTGCAGGTCGCTGAGGTTAACGTCCCTCCCGGGAACGAGTCCCCGAGCCGAGAGGTTCCTGACCACGTCCAGCCGGAACCTGCTGCATGGGCTCAGCTGCTGCTCCCCGTTCACTACCTCACAGTGGCACAAAGCATGTCAGAGCCACGGCGCGCACGCCGCCGCCGCCGCCGCGCGGCCTGAGGCCACCGGAGGGGCTTTGTGGCAAAACGGCATTTTTTTACTTTACTTGCACTTCCCGTGTGTGAACATTCTTTCGTTAAACAGGAACATGTGTGAACAAACCTCTCACCACATTCTTCATGCAGGGAAGTCGCTGAGAATGATGTATATATACATACATATACTTATATATACACATACGTATACTTATATATACACATACATATACTTATATATACACATACGTATACTTATATAAACACATACATATACTTACATATATATATATATATATATACACATGTATTTGTTGTTTCTCAATGTTAAATGAATGACCCGGCTTTATTTTTTTATTTTTAAATATTTTTAACTTTTATTCCTTTATTTTAAACAAACCCACAGCATTATTTCTTATTTTATTCCTCGTTGTCTCGTTGGTACCGTCTGCTGTTACGCACCAACCGCCAAGTCAAATTCCTCGCATGTCCACAAACGCTCCCCGCCCGTCCCCTCACCTGTCTCGGTATGACCGCGGTGAGCCAGTCTTCGGTGAGGTTGACGTCGGGGACGGCGCAGTGGTGGCTCGGCAGGTCGGTCAGGAACACCAGGGTGAACGCGCCGAACCCATTGGGCACGATGGTGGCGCACAGCAGGAAGAAGACCGCCTGCTGGAAAGGGCCCCACTGACCCAGGAAAGCCACGCTTTCATCGTAGCCCCGCATGGTCCGTCCTGCTCGCGTTGTCCGCAGTCCTCCTGCAACTGTTGCGCGAGAACTCTGATCAAGACCATGTTGCGTCCTCTGGAACGAGGGCAGAAACGCAGAGACGGTGATTACGTCGCCGCATGCCTCCGGCGGGCCGACGCCCTTCCTCCAAGCCGACGAGGAGGCCGGCGGCTCGGAGCCTGATCGCAGGTGTAAGTTTCAGCGGGAGAGACGTTGGCCGCTGCCGGCTTCCCACCGCCCACAAACACTCGCCGTGTCTAGGAAACGCCCCAGACGCACAGAGAGACGGAGCGTCTCAGGGAGCGTCGTGCGGTGTCCTGTTGCAGTTCGACAGAGGAGATCCGTGGCGTCGCTCATGCGTAGCAGAAGGGAATCCCACGCTAAAGGGTGTGGCGGTGACACCGGGTGAGGACACAGACCTCGCTGGTCCTCACCCACACACCGCGGGGGGGCTTCGCTGCAAGAAAGATTAAATGCTCTTCATTCAAATCCTGAACCCTGAATCCTGAAGAGGAAAAACCTGTAAAGCTTAACATGTTGCTTCCTGTCAAAGAGGCGAAGCTCTGTTTCAGTTGTTGTGCTTCAGGCCTGATGTCAACACACCAGGGCTGCTGTTTCCTGCTGGTCCCACGAGGTGACTCAGCAGAAACAACAAGTATATATATATACATAAAAAGAAATATACTTCAACATTACCAACGCGGAGAGAAGTAGAAGTAACAGTAAAGCACTAGTAGTAGTAGTAGTAGTAGTAGTACTAGGAGGAGAGGAGGAGGAGGAGGACCAGAGTAGTAGT